GGGCCCCTGGTGGCCCTGCTCCGGCAGCGTGCCCGGCCCTACCTCTTCTCCAATAGCCTGCCGCCTGCTATCGTTGGCTGTGCCTCCAAGGCCTTGGACATGCTCATGGAAGACAACTCCATTGTCCAGTCTATAACAGCCAAGACCCAGCGGTGCAGTGCCTGGCAGGGGTGGGAAAGGTGGGGGGAGGGGGCCGCTGAGGCCTGCCTGAGTGCTTGCCCAGCCCCCGCCGACAGGTGCCGCCTCTGCTCACACCACATCCCCCGCCCGTTTCACTGGGACGCAGCTTGGTCTCTTCCTTCCATTTCCTCCCATTTCTCTGCAAATGACCCTGTGTCTGCCCATCTTATGTAGTTCTTTCAACCTCTCTTTTCGGTCTATTTCTTCCTCTGCCTGGCTCCCCGTTGGACTTTCTGACTGCACCTCTGTCTCGTTGGTCTCTGCAGACTCAGGCCCAGATCTGGGATCCGGTGCCCATCAGGAGTGGGTGTGAGTGATCCACAGTCCCCCAGTGGACCTGTCACACCCTGCTTGTGCCCACAGGTTTCGCAGTCGGATGCAGGCTGCTGGCTTCACCATCTCGGGAGTCAATCACCCCATCTGCCCGGTGATGCTGGGTGATGCCCGGCTGGCCTCTGCCATGGCGGACGACATGCTAAAGAGAGGTCAGGAGACCAGGACAAAAGGACTGGCTGTGGGTCCTGAGAGAAAAGAGGGAGGAGTGAACCCCTAGACTGTGACATTCCCCTTTGTCCCCACCCTCCTACCCTTTTTGGACCAGCTGTCCAAATGTGGAAACCCAGGCCACAGGGCAATCCATGTCGAAGAGACCATGGACTGCCCCCTTGCCCTCTGTGATCCTTAGGAAGCAGGGGCTGTATGTCATGCCCAAAGCCTGCCTGGCTCTGATGAGTCCCAGGTTGGCTCTCTCTACCTTCCCAGGCATCTTTGTCATCGGGTTCAGCTACCCAGTGGTCCCCAAGGGCAAGGCCCGGATCCGGGTACAGATCTCAGCAGTGCACAGCGAGGAGGACATTGACCGCTGCGTGGAGGCCTTTGTGGAGGTGGGGCGGCTGCACGGGGCGTTGCCCTGAGCCCTCCCTCCACAGCGACGAAGGGGGCCTCTGATCATCCGCCCAGGCCAGAGGCCCTGAGCCCTGTCGGAGTCCTAGGGCCAGGCTGGGGCAAGGCTTGTGCTTGTGGCCATGAGTATGAAACAACCGTGGAAATTGGTTGTGATGCGTTGGTCTGCTTTATTCTCTCCGAGCAGGTTGGTCTGCTCTGTGATGGGTTGAAGAAGCAGGCAGGAGCTGGGGCTTGCGGGCAGGCTCCTGAAAGTAGACCTCAGAGCTGAACACCTCCCCCAGATTGAGACCCCGGCGGCTGGGCTAATACAGCATCTGGCTCCGCTGGACCCCGTGCTGCTGTAGAGGGAGCTGAGCATCAGCCCTGCAGGGCCTTTCCCACGCCACCCCCCACCCCCCCCACTCTGCAGCCTCCAGAGTCTAGCCTTGGGCACCCCTTGTGCTTCTCCCCATCCAAAGGACGACTCACAGCTGCCCTGATAAGAAGGCTGGACACCCAAACCCATGTTTGGACGAGAGGCTGAGGATTCAAGCCCCAAAGGAAAGAATGTGGGTCACTACTGGAGAGGCCCTGCTGCCTGGCACCCTGTGTTCTAGCCGCTCTAGGCCCCATCCTCTGTGTGTGCCTCATCCCCCCACCCCCCTGTTCCCGAATGACTGGATTTATGTTAACGTAGGGCCATCCAGCTCCCTCGTCTCAAGGCCTAATGGCCTGATGGTCAGCCGCCAGGGGGCGCAGCGAGCTCAGGCTCAGGCTCCGGCCGCTAGGGCCCCGCCCCTGCAGACTCCAAGCCTTGGACTCTGGGCTGCCGCCAGGAGGCCCATTGGCTTCTGTGAAGGCCCCATCCACCTTTGTCCTCCACAAGGCCTCGCAGCGTCCCTATTGGAGATGGTACCCCCCCTTCCCACAGTCCTTTCCCCTAGCCCTTCTCCATTGCCCTCCCCACTCAGCCTTATGGGCACCTGGTGCAGGCGGGGATGGCTCCGGTCTCAGTGATTAGCCTTGGGAAGCTCTTGGCGTAGTTTGCTGGGGTAGAGCAGGGAAAGGCCCTTATTAACAGGGAACTAGGACGAGGTCTGTGATGCCCTGCACCCCCAGCCCTCCCCTTTCCTTGGGAATCTTGGGGTGGACTATCTGGTTGAGTTCCAGCCCAACCCTGCAGGATCTTAACACTGGGATTCTGGAAGCCCTAACCTGTGGTCTGGAACAGCTTGAGACTGGGGTCAAGGAGCCCAGAGCGCTGGGGGTGCAGCCAGGGGAAGGGGCTGCTGTGACCACATCAGCAGCAAGAACCCTTGAATGCTGCCACCACCAGGGGAAGGCACCTGGTGCCACATGCCCTGCTACAGCAGCGAGGTGCATAGCCTGTAGCTTGAGGTGTAAGGTTTTTGCCAGCAGGCACAATACATACCTGGCAGCCACGGTCATTGTCACGTCACAGTGGGTGTGCCCTACCCAGCGAAGCCAGAGCACCTGGCCCAGGTCCGCTAGCTGTTGGCTGGCTTTCCCCAATGGACAACACGAGCAGCTGTAGGGTCGTGCCATCCTGGGCCTGGCCACTAGCGCCCCGTGCAGCTGACCAGCATGTGGTAGCCTGGCCCACCGCCATCCAGAGGGGCCACAGGCAGCACCGTGAGGAGCAGCAGCAGCTCTGGTCGCATGCGTGGGCTTGGGCGGTACTGGACACTCGCAAGAGGCTTGAGGGCCCATCATGGGTCAGCTGCACTTCTTACTGCAGGGCCGGGGGCTCGGAGGACGGCTCCCAGGGCACACAATCCACATCCTCTGCGTTGGGCACAGGGTTCAAGCTGTGGCTGCCAGGAAAAGGAGTTGGAGCCAAGGGAGGAGGGGGTGCTAGGGGTATGAGGACATGCCCTTCCCGCCTGCCCCAAGGCCAGGCCTTCTGTGGTCCCCTCCGTCCTTCCCTCTGCGTCTACTATCAAAGCTGCTCAGCCTCGCAGCTGCTGGGAGTTCCCCTAGTTTGCCAGAACCCAGCCAAGGGTAAGGAGTGGCCTTGCGGGCTGGGGACCCCCACGGGCAGGTAGGACAGTGTCAGGGATCTCAGGGGCTTCCCAGGTGCAGGCATGCCAGCCACATTAGTGAGTCTGGGCTTCTGGGAGTCGGTGGGTGCATTACTTTCAATTCATAAAGGGTGGTTGTGATTCTAAAACCCCAGCACACCGAGTCTAGCATCCTACAAGTCTGCCTTTCAGTGGTCACAAGACCCTTCGGTTCTAATTCCTTCACTCAGTCTGCTAGCTCTGAATTCAGATTTGGAGAGTCCACGTCTGAGTCCCAATACCTTCAGTTCAGGGGTCTCTGCTTCCAAAGAACCGAGGGTGCTCTTTGGAGAGGCACTTCTGAGCACTCGCAGAAACGCCGGGGCCGCAAGGAGCTGCTTCTGAGGAGTCCCCCCGCTCCTCCGGCCTTAATGCAAGGCTTGGCTTTGTCAGCGCCCCTCATACTTCCACTCTCCCAGACTTCCCCCTCCCAGCTTCTAGAAAGACTCCTCATGCGGTCCCTACCGCCTCTCCTCTCCTTTTAACTCCTTGCAGTCTGCACCTCGCCTTCTAAGTGCCGGCCTCTATCCCTTTTGGCCACGTGGTCCACTCTAAGAGGTCAGGCCAGAACCCCTTGACTGAATCAGCCATCCACCAAGACCTTCTAACCTGTTTAGCTGTTGAGTGTAAAGAGGCTTCTAGCAGGTCACTTGTTAAATCACTCCCAATCTGCATCCTTTCACTGCAGCCATAATAAGCTAATTACAAAATAAACGGGCAGGTTATAGCCCTGCTCTAGAACTTCTTACTAGTTCCCCCATTGCCCTCTGGCTAAAGCAAGACTCTCTAGGCTGGTACATAAACTCTCCAGTCTCCAGCCAGACTGAACCCCTTAGGGGTTCTGGACCAAGCTTAGGGAAGCTGATAGGTTCAAGGTTCTCAGGGTCTGGGGGAGGAGTCCCACCTGAAGAATGCAGAAAAGGGGCTCATTCTGGTTTCCCAGCCTCGGATACCCCATTCAAGGCTAGGAATCCTTTCTGAACTTGGGTTGGAGCAGAGAGAGGGGAGGAGGGGGAGTGGAATCAGGCAGGGCCACAGGAGGTGGGAATGCCAAGGATGGGCTGGGTCCTGGGCACAGAGGGGTTAACTACAAAGCGAATCGGAGAGCAAGATCAATGGGTTACTCACTGCAGAAAGGGAGCAACTCACAGGCAGAGAGGAGCCTTGCAGAAGAGCATGCCACCTGGGGGAAATCCGGGACTGAGGAGGAGGCAGCCACTGGGCACTCTGGAGGGACTGCCCAAGTCGAGCTCAGCAGAGGAGGGGCCTTAAAGGAGAAGAGGGAGAAGTGAGAGGCAGATCTCTATCTGCAGGGAGGCACCAAGGGGCGGCCAGGAGCCAGGAGGCAGCCTCAGCCTGACTGGTTCACCCAGGATCAAGCGGGGGGGCCCAGGATCCAGGTGGGTGTTGCACTGGGAGGGTCTTTTGCATGCTGGGGGGTGGGGGGAGTAGGGAGACATCTATTTTCTTACCTCTCCCTGCCTGTCTCCCTTGCTCTTAATTTGTCCCACCAACCTAGAGGTCCCAGGGGGAATCCACAGGTAGTAGCCGATGTGGGGTGGGGCAGGGGTGAGGGTGGACACGGCTTGCACCAACGCACGTGCACATACACGCACAGGTTTTCACAGCGGCACCTGTTAGAGTGCTCTCATGAGCGCTCCAGCCTGAGTCAGTACCAGGATGGCAGCGGCCCCACATCTGCCATTCCAAGCGTGCTCTTAGCTTCCCGTGTGCCCTCTCTGAGCCTTGACTTCCTCATGTGCAAGGGGGGGGGGGGGGAGACCTATATGTGGTGTTCCCAGCTGTGCTACTGGGGCTCTTACCAAACTGGACTCTCCAATGACAGGGATGCCACCCAGGTTTTGCTGGCCTTGACCCATGTCCAAGAGTCTTCCCTGAGCTTCAGGTGCCCCATTGAGAAGAAAGTATACCTGCTCCTGAGGCTGGAGTGCCCCTCTCCTCTCCCTCCATGTCCTCCCCCTCTGCCTGTGTCCACCTGCATCACTGGTTGGTGGTGTCCATCACCTCACCTTCACACTCAGCACTATGGGGGTGTCCTCTAGGAAGCTGAGAGACCCACCTCAGACACCAATGTAACTGTGCCAGGAGCTTGCACAGTAGGTCTCTGTCCCCCCACACCTCCCCTCCCCCTCCAGGACCTTCTGGCCGGGAGATCTAGCCAGGCCCAGGCTGAGGAAACTAGACCCTGGGTCAAGTACCAGGGCTGCAGCCGCTGCCTGAGAAGTCCAGGTTCTCTTCCCCAGGTGATCATCTGCTGGAGAGATGGCTGATGTCCACAACAGTTCGCTAGACAGCCCAGGGAGTGTGGGGGCTGTGGCCGTGCCTGTGGTCTTTGCCCTCATCTTCCTGCTGGGCACGGTGGGCAACGGGCTGGTGCTGGCGGTGCTGCTGCAGCCCGGCCCCGGTGCGTGGCAGGAGCCCGGCAGCACTACGGACCTGTTCATTCTCAACCTGGCCGTGGCCGACCTCTGCTTCATCCTGTGCTGCGTGCCGTTCCAGGCCGCCATCTACACGCTGGACGCCTGGCTCTTCGGGGCCCTGGTCTGTAAGGCTGTGCACCTGCTCATCTACCTCACCATGTACGCCAGCAGCTTCACGCTGGCCGCTGTCTCCGTGGACAGGTGTGCCTGGAACCGGGCCGGGCGGGCGGGGGAGGGAAGACCTGAACAGATGCCCATTGGCCTTAGGAGAGAGAGAACAGGGGACCCAAAGGGGACATGGAGAGAGGAAAGGAACAGCTCCCTGGCCGCCACCGTCCAGTCTCGGGGCGCCTGCAGGGCAGGCTTGAGGGGACCATCCTGCCCTCCCCGACTCCATGATGAGCTTCCCCCAAAGATCTCTGTCTCCAGGGTCCTCACCAGGTCTGGCACATGACAGGTGCCGTGTGAGTGAAATGAAGGGGGAAGGAATACACGAAGGACTCAGATATTTATTACCACCCATGCCTGGCCCGGGTGCGGTCATCCATAGCTGTTTGCAAGGCTTGACACTTGGGTCAAATCCAGGCTCGCTCTCTAGCCGATGAGCTTGGCCAAGTCACTGTTCTCTGTACCCCCAGGCACCTCTCGAAGCGCTTTGCCTGTGAACCCCCTTAATCACCACCACCCGGGAGGGAGGTCGAGTGGTAACCCC